GGTGCTAGCCATTCAACTTTACCAGCTCCCGTCCTTCAGCAGTCTAGGCTTACAAACTCTGGTGAGTCTTGTGGGACATCGCGAGACAGTCCTTCGTGCCCCTCAGGCTTTACAGCGTTGGATACCTTCACGGGAACACTACCAGATGCATTATCGTTTCGGGAGGAGACCAACCAGTGAGTCTCGATTGGCATTTCGAGGTGACTGAGTATTGCAGGTCTGTCGATGGTGCATCGGCTAGTGCGTCAAATGCGGACTCCTTCTACAGCGCACGAGAATATTGCTAATGCGTATCGTATCATGCTGGATGGGATCTCATGACTTCAATTGGTTTCCTTCCTATTCTACATCCTTCTAGTTGTATTCAGTTCGAATAAAGCTGGCGGGGGTGAGCATTTAGTGCCGACAACCTTCGCTATAAGCCTGATGGGAAGCGATGGGAGATATGTAGATCCCCATTGCACCGGTCCCTGCTGAGTGAGAGGGATTCAGCTGCCTCGGTAGACCTTTCTCTGTAGGGGAGGCAGCGAGTGAGTGAGAGGAGAACGGCTCTGCAGTGAGGTCGAGGTGATCTTGAAGGGTGCCCAAGGATCCGGGGTGGGAGCAGGCGATAATGGGTGTGGTCTTTGAAATCAGCCATGTTTCCGCCTTAGTCAAAGCATCTCATGCTTGAAGGCTGCTCAGCTGATCCCAAGACTTTCTTGATAATATCAAGGTTTTGTTGAAGACCACGCCCCCCGTCCTCGTACGCTGCCGGAGAGATGTTCCCGCCTTCTTCGAACTCTATTTCAAAAAGAGATGCCCATTGGAGGGTGCTGCTGCATCCTCATCGCTGTCCCAATTCCCCGTAGCACACAGTGTGTCTCCATCGGTTGAAGGAATCCCTTGCCTAAGCTTATGATGATGACAATCTACGTCGTCTATGGAGTATAACCAGGCCTCGTAAGGTATGCGATTATATCCAGTGTAGTGTTATCTCAATGGGCAAATCACTAAGAGCTGGGAGGTGGAGCCACGCACGCATGCGCAGGGAAGAATCTTACGCACAAGGAAGATTCTTCGCTGCACTGTATCGTACAGTGCGGCAATACATACAGGGACATACATATAGTCTGTTTGTACGACGCTTGCTTGATAACACTAGTCGAATCTTCCTACTATTATTGTGTACTCTTTGTGTTGTTCAATGTGAGGGTAAGTGTTTTGAGGTCAATCGCCTAGCGAGTGAGTCGTGGTCCTGGACAATGATCCTTAACCCTTCAAGAGGGGATCAGGCGAGCTTATCTGAGCTCACCTGTTCGCGCTGACCCATTGCATATTTTGAGAAGGTTCGTGATGCTTTCAAAGGTACCTTATAGAGGGCTCAGCTGAAGAATTCCCAGAGCCCAAGCTGGTACAGCTATCCGCCTCCCCATCATAGGGGCGCCTTATGTATCGTCCCAGGTGTTCATCGTTTCACATACAGAATGGTAGCAGATGTTATGTGTCTGATGACGACCTGGTTTATTACTACAATATGTGGTATGATGAAGTCAGTGATGAGTTCGACTTTTGTTAGAGACTTGAGATTAGTTCTTGTGCCGCTCCATATTAGACACCTTTTAGTGGTGTTTGCTGTAGACCTAGCATGCTTGGACGTGGTAGTTGGTTATAGCGGGCGGATCTGTCCGGCTCAATAGCGCTACCAGTAGAGGTGTGTATCATATCCAGATGTGAGGCAGAGTCGGACGTGTGATGGCTATAGGTGTCACTGGAGCGGGCTACCGGTCCGGAATTGAGACTGCCGGTACACCAGCGAGAGAAGTAGAGTTGCTCGCCCACGATTACCTTCCTCCGCAGCTGTTTTGACAGGCCATGGGTTTCTCAAGTAACACTGAGTTCGTTGATAGAGCCATTCGATATGCCGTTGCTGCCATCGATTGAAGTTCTGATGGTCGGATTATAATGAGATGTGGGAGAGGAGTGGTATGATAACCGTTGCTTTGAAACACATGAACAAGAATCTGGAATACGCCACTATGGGACGTGGACAGGAGTTCGGTCGCTGTGCTGAAGTGTTGTGTCATTGAGGTGTTCATGTTCTCGTCACGGCCGAGGTCTATGACTGTTCATGCCTTATGGTTTCTATCTTTACAGCGCTGCTTCATTTTCTTTATCAGGATCAGTAGACTAGTATCGGCAGTAGTTACGTTTGGATCCCTGCACATGTTCGGTCAACAGCAGCAGCAGCAAGGTACCATGCCCCAGTTCCCTCATATGTTCGGAGGCACCAACCTAAGGCAGCCAGCCCAATTCACGGTAGGATATTGCTGGAAGACGTTTCGTCTTGCAACTAGCTCTCGACAGGCCTCGCCGTTTAATGTCGCTCCGGCGGTTCCACTACAACAGCAACAGCATGCGGCTGATGCAGCGGGGCGTCCTGTCCAACCACCACAGGGCCAGGCTCAGGTCCCGGGCCAAGGCCTCCCTCCTATGGGGGCTGGAAGGTTCGCTATGGCATTCGGTCAGGGTGCTCCTCAGGTCGTAGGGAATCCTAACGGCAGAGCAAGTAGTGGAGCTCATCCTACACTTGCATTAGTGTTGCTTTCTCATAGGCCTTGTGGTTGGTCCAGGCCTTGGGAAAGCGTTCCAGGCCCCACCAGGCGGTCGAGTCGCCCAGTCTCAGGCCATATCGAAAGCCCCTCAACAGCCTGAGGTGAATTGGGTGTGTTACGGTATCGGTAGCGGATGGCTAACTCTTAGATGCCGAAACCTTCTACCTCGATGACCCCGTCGAAAGGTGTCAAGGTAGTATCTGGCCTTGTGACAGGGCAGGGATTGCTGCACGCTTCCTCAGAATTCTCCGGCTAAGGCTGGCACGCCGGCATCACGCACGGTGAGGAGGGCAATGTTGTTGTAGTAGTAGTGTTGATGTTGGTGAAGCAGATCGCGGATTTGAAAGCTTCCTTGGCCTCGAAAGCCAAGTACATCACACAGCTTGAACAGGAGCTGGAGTCCAGGAGTCATCCAGTCATCAGTGGGCCCACGGGAGAGGTGACCAGCCAGACCAATCTCAGAATGGAATTTTGCTATTACAGAGTCCACATGGCGAGTCTATTAAGAGGCTCAAGGCTCAGCTCGCGTCTAAGGATGCGCTCATAGATGATCTCAGAGATGAAGTTCGACGACTCAAGACGTTTATGGTCCTCAAGGAACTGTTGTTGGGCTTTGATCGGATTCATTCCCATTCAGGGCGCTTCGACCTCTCGCCCTCTAAGCAGGCCGAGCCCTAGGGAGAGCAAGGGAACTCCGAGCCCTAGGTAAACGCTACCTGGAGATGATTATCATCATCAGTGCTGGCATGGTATCAGGAAGTCTCCTGGTGGCCTTGGTTCATCGGGCAAGCTACAGATTCATCCCTTGCTGACGGGCGATCCAGCTTTCCCATATCATAGCATGAATCGCGATGATCCTGTGGACATGAGGTTATTGGGCGGGATATCCCACGGGTCTCATCTGTGTGGTGTCTCAGAGTTGAGGAGTTCTACAACAGCACCTCTTCGGCGGTGCCGATCAAAAGAATCAACCGAAAATTTTACGCCTTTGGGTCAACCCAGGTGGAAATCGATGTAGTTAACGGCAAGCTGCTGGTCCGTACAGAGGTGAGTCCCCAAATGTCGGTTACAGTGTAGGGATGCCTCCTCTGCATTATTGTCGGTATCGTATATAGCGTGGACACATCTAGTGATGAAGTTTTTTTGAAATCTACACTATTTCAATTTCGAAGGATTGTTCCGCAAAGTAGAATGCAATATATGAGTTCGATTTTCGTGCACTGCCCGGAAAATAAAAATAATGCCCGTTTTTGAAATTTGAGTTCGGAAACACAATACCGCTTCCGACCGGCTAACGCTTGCTTTCATTTAGCTAGTGCAGTGTTGTGTATTTCAGGACGGATGGAACAATGGTAAGTACGGCGCTATTGAAAAGTTCCTGGTTCACTACGAGCCCATGGAACGTGAGAAAGCGGGAATGCCCCCCTTTGCTAATTAGAACCTGGAATAGTCCTCTACTGCTATTATCTCGTACTTCATAACATCATCGAGTGACTTAACCTCGGCCTAATTGTGTTCCAGTTATTTGTGAATACAAAGAACCGGTGTAGTGATAGCGATATGGCAAGGCGTTCTTTTATAGTGTAATTGGCATTATTTTTCTATCGCCGTCGTCAGCTCCTCCTTGTCCAATGAGCAGCTAGCCACTCGCTCACCCTCCGAAAACTTTCGAGAGCAGGCAGTATATAGTATATCTCCGCGAGCTTATCGTGCAGCCCTGCACATTTACTGAAAAGGCTTGTTGCAGTAGTTAAGTTCTGCAATACAGCTCCTGCAGCGGTTACCAGAGAGTCCTCCCAGCATTGCTCATCACGGAGCGATGACCACTGTCCAAGAACACCGGAACACTGAGCATATTTCGTCGATGGTGTGGGCAGCCTTGAGCCGCAGCCATTCCTAAGACATTTCGGAACAATGGATTTCCGAATCCAAGGGACACGTTCCCGAATCGGCAGCGTCTTCTTATTACGATACCGAAGATAGTTGGGAAAGAAACTCCCGTGAGTAGTCTCCTTGTCACCACTTGTGGTCCTTTAGCCTCCGTGCAGACCCCCTCATGGGTCCAGGCTGGATCCTGCCGTTGGTTTGACTTGATCGAAATGAAAACTAGATGAATCCACGCTTATGCTTGCGGCTGTTTGTCGTCGTTCTAGGAATTTCCCTAGTGTTGACTATTAGCTGCGGGGTAGAGGTGTGCTTTCCCAGAAACGTTACTCCTATTGTATGTGTGTTAATTTTTCTTGAGATGATGTCGAGAGCAGCTTGTTGTATCCTCAACTGTTGAGGATAGAACTTGCCAGCATCGTTGAGGCTCAACAATCCTGGCAAGTTCTAGTCAGCACGCAGAATTTCGTCATTTTTTGTTACCTTAGCTGTCTTAATTCAACAGTTGTGAATAACACAACCACTGTTGAACTCTGAGAATGGAAGTCGAGCTAGGTTGAATCAGGCTCGATCTCACAGGCTCCCGAGTCGGGTCGAGAAGCGGATGAATCGAGAAGAGCTGAGCGAAGTATAGGAATTGAGTCGTATCATGTGCTATGAGAAAGACCCCCTGGAGAGCATGCGGTGGCTGCGTCTTACAAGCCCTGCGTAGGCTTCCTCACCCAGACGTTGCTAGACCAGAGATAGGTGACTGATAGCTGCAGAACATTCGATCCGGGTATATCTGCATTCGTCACAACGTGTGGCTATTCGTGTCATAAGGGGAAGTAAATCTCATCGCTGATGAAGTGAGTGCGCTGGAGTCTTAGGAATACGCTTGATGCCCGAGGGGCATCTGGTCATTCCAAAACTACGTTTTTACTAATTGGAAAGCGAGCTCGCTGAGGATCGGCCTGGAGGTAAAGGCTTGTACGGGAAGCGATGGTGAAAGAGCCTTCGCGTTGCTTGAGAGATCATATCACAGGTGCGCGCCGAAGTCATAGCTTTTTCTCAAACTCGAACGAATAACCTGTCCCAGGACGTTGTGGCGTTGATGATATAACATTATCCAACATCGGATTGAGTTTATCTCTTGGAAGGTTAATCGTTGACTGATACATTCGTTCAGGATCCCGAAGTTGTTTGAACACCCCAAGTCACAACACAACACAGCACGATCAAACTGATGGTAAATCGGTTTATACCCGATCGAAAAATTCGGTGGATGTCCACCCTTAATCGTT